GTTGTTCATGATGATTTCAATATTTCTTCCCATAACAAAGAAATACGTCTTGAACAAATATATGACACATTCATATTTCACTGGTGTTGTAACATCACATCCTGTAAGCATAGTCTGCCTGTGTCTTTTCTCTGGAAATGAACATTTTCAGCCAGTATAGGTAAAACAACAACATGGCTGGAGAGAGTTTGTATGAGTTGTATAATTGTGGTTAATCTATAAACATTTGTAAGGAGATGGCAGTTACCGTGAATTTACAGCTGTTACACAGTGATTAGTAATAAACAGAGCCAGTGAGAGTGATTGGATTTAAGAAAGTGAGTGACTCAGGTGTGTCAGTTGGTTTGTCATCTGTGTTTGAGTGGGGGAGAGCTAGAAATGTTTACTTTTAATGCTAAGCAAGGAATATTCATGATTTATTTCCAAAACTTGCATATGATCTGCAATTTGTAGCAGACTATCACATAGCAGCTGGAGCAGTCTCAAATGGAGGCCAGACTACAAATGTTGTGCATGCTAAATAAACAGAAACAAATGATCCCTGTTGTCTTTACTTAATGATTGGTTTTAGTCCTGACAACCCACATTGCTGTCATTGCATCTTTCAACATGTTTGTGGGTCGATTTGAATGATCCAGATGTAAGTGTAGCCACTCAGCTTCTTCTGCAGATATGTCACAAGTTAATCTAGTAGTAGCACTTGGCCACAGGTGGCAGTAGTGGACTGACCTCCATTTGAGTTCATCTTTCTAAAGCAGATGATTGTAAGCTTCTGGCAGGCAAACGGACGAAGTTTGCTGACTGAAAAAGAATAAACAACTAAATAAGTTAATTAGAAGCAGCAGGCTGATGTATCTTATTGTGTGTATCTGTTCTTGTGTGATAAGAAAGTTTTCAGAGGAAAGCAAACCAAAAAAACCCACTTTAATTTTCATGGTTTGATTGATAAAAAATTGTTTGAGTTAAAATACCTTTAAAAACACATGTTGTCGAGCTTGTTTTGCAGAACGAATTTCTGCCTCTGGTCTGCACTTGTGCGAAGCACCGATGCAGGCCGCCATAGCGCCAGACTACACATTAAGCTGTGGCCTAAATAGTTTTACTCACATGCAGAAGTGGACAAATTGCCGCAGGGTTTCCCTTGAACGGCAAATTGGTGAAGGAATCCAGCGTGTACACTGGTATCTCCATTGTAGGTAAGCGAAGGAAGACGAAAATGGCTTAAAAGTCAAGAGCCTCCTTCTTCAGCTCCGTTTTTGGTGGACAAAGTCCGCACCCACTGCTTTTTTATTTTTTTTAACAAGAACTTTATTAATCAATCAGTGAGTACAACATACAAACAGACGAGGTATACAAGAGAGTAGAACATGAATACAAATAACCAGGAGTACAAAATAATGCAGTTTCACGTGCAATGTTTCCAATAGATCAGACAGTAGCAGCAAAGGCTGTCATACAGTTGTCCTGCAGCTGCTTACCAGAGAAAAGATGAGTTTGATGATTGTGAGATAATTTCACGCAGAGATGGAGAAAGATGTAAGAAAGACATGACAGGAGGAAGAAGAGCGCTTATCTTTTTAAAAGGAGCGCTCAGTGACATTTGATGAACTGAAAGTTTAAAGCTAGCGCACCTTCATTCAAGACCTACTGTTACTTGTATTCTTTGAGTACATTTCAGAGCCTGTAGTTTTACACTTTTGCCGAGTAAAGAAGTCAAATCAGTCCTTGCCAGAGTATTTCTTATCTGCACTTTTGCTCAAATAACAAGTGTGTGTAAATTTTACCACCGCTGCAGTCATGATATGGGCGACATGGGCGGTTGCCCGGGGCGGCATCGTAGTGGGGGGCGGCATAACGGGCATCGGCAAAAAAAAGTTGCTCGTACTCATGCTGCCCCGACATCATGCCAGCGCATTCTGGGGATGTCATAGGCACCGATCGGTGTTCTTGCGGCCATTTGCGGGGAGTAAGGGCGCCCTCCGTTTGCGAGCTGCGCTTGCTGCTTGCGGCACAGGGAGGAGAGGGCGTGGCGGCGGGGGATTTCAAATCAAATCACTTTTATTGTCACATCACATGTGCAGATACACTGGTACAGTACATGTGAGTGAAATTCTTGTGTGCGAGCTTCACAAGCAACAGAGGTGTGCAAAATACAATAACATAAGAACAAGCAAAATATAAGAATGGCTTGCAGAATCTTTTCAGTCTCCTGAGAAAGAAGAGGAGCTGCTGCGCCTTCTTCACTGTGTGTACTGACCACGTAAGATCCTCAGCCAGATGTACACCAAGGAACCGGAAGCTGCTCACTCTCTCCACAGCAGCGCCGTTGATGGTGATGGGGGTGTGTACTTCTCTGCACCTCCGGAAGTCCACTATCAACTCCTTTGTCTTTGCGACTTTGAGGGTGAGATGGTTGTCTCGACACCAGTGGGTCAGGGCGCTCACCTCCTCCCTGTAGGCCATCTCATCACCTTTGGTGATAAGACCCACCACTGTAGTGTCATCCGCAAACTTCCCAATGATGTTGGAGTTGCTAATGGCCGTGCAGTCGTAGGTGTAGAGTGAGTAGAGTGGGGTGGCTCAGGTGGTAGAGCAGATCAGCTACTGATCGGAAGGTTGGTGGTTCGATCCTTGGCTTCCTCAGTCTGCATGCCAAATATCCTTGGGCAAGATACTAACCCAGAGTTGCCCTCCGATGCATTCATCGGAGTATGAATCTGTATGAATGTAGTTTAGGTTGCACTTGAGTTGTATGAGTGGGGGTGAATGAGGCATGTTGTATAGAGTGCTTTGAGTACTCCGGGAGAGTAGAAAAGCGCTATATAAGAATCAGTCCGTTTACCAGTACAGGACAGGGCTCAGTACACACCCCTGTGGAGCACCAGTGTGGATGAGGTGATGCTGCCCAGTCTGACCACTTAGCTTCCTGTCTGTCAGACAGGAAGTTAAGGATCCAGCTGCAGAGGGAGCTGCTTAGTTCTAGATCCTGCAGTTTCCTGTCCAGCTTCGAGGGAACGATGGTATTGAATGCTGAGCTGTAATCTACAAACAGCATCCTCACATACGTGTCTCTCTTCTCCAGGTGTGACAGGGCAGTATGTAGTGTCAGGGCTATGGCATCATCAGTAGAACTGTTGTGGCGGTATGCAAATTGTAGAGGGTCCAGTGAGTCAGGCAGTGCAGAGCAAACGAAGTCCCTGATCAGCTTCTCGAAGCATTTGCTCACGATGGGGGTCAGGGCTACAGGTCGCCAGTCGTTCAATGAGGAGATGGTGGAGGATTTGGGTACAGGGACGATGGTGGCCATTTTGAAGCAGGCTGGGACTACAGACAGAGAGAGGGAAAGGTTGAAGATGTGTGTGAACACTCCAGCCAGCTGAGCCGCGCATGACTTGAGGACGCGGCCGGGAATCCCGTCCGGACCAGTAGCTTTGCGTGCGTTCACCTTCCTGAAGCACTTCCTCCTCAGATCCTGACATCCTCCTCAGTTGGTTATTAGCACCATCTAATAACCAACTCGCAAAATAAAACAAACAAACACGAAAACACCAGACATTATGATACAGACTTATAATCTGCACCGACGTTTTTTCGAAATTCTATACCGAAAAGTGAGCGCGAGAGCCCTCGGTGCACCTACTTGCTGCTGAAGTCAAAGTAAACTTTATTGTCATCTCCACTATATAAGTACAGTATATAGAGAGACGAGACGGCGAGGCTCCAGTTACAGCAGTGCAAGTAAACAAACAATAAATATAAGTAGAGTAAGAAAATAAATATACACTTTAGGACTCGGGGTAAAGAGATCAATAACAATTTAAAATGTATAATTTACAGTTTGATGATTTAAAGTCTCACACGCAACCTGTCGAAAGGGGAGGGAGACATGCTGCTTCCAAATAGAGCACATTTCATTCATAATGATGTAAATCCAAGCCCATTATGTATTCATGATTAGACTCCTCGGTTGTGCAAAATCCCAGAAATAAACCCTAGAGTCTAGACAAAGCCAATCTATGATTTAAGGTGTAGGTCTATTACGTTATGTTGTGGTGATCCTCGGGTTGGGGGATGGATGTTCATACCGTAGTGCAACACTAAAACCAGTGGAAGATGGACAAGAAAAGGTCAAAGCCATCAGGTGCTCAGTTTAGAAAAAAGAGGGCGTGTTCGCCCAGGGCACCAAGCAGGCTAGGACCGCCACTGGGTGGCGCCATGGGAAAACCAACCCACTCTGCTAGCAGTGAACAGCACCATCTGTTCAGCACTGCTGTAGATTTAATACATTTTAAGAGAAGATGCAAAACAGTCCACTGCCTGACAACACATGTGCATGATGATAACAGAGTTTTTCTATACAAAAAAAAGTTTAAGCTTCACTTAAATTAGTAATTTAAAAAATATTCATCTATCAGTAATTAATGTTCAAGTAAAACGAAATTCTTATGTAGCAATCAGAACAATTTCTAAATCTCTCCATACTTTTGTGTGTGTTTTATTATTATTACCTTAAACATAAAAACTTTACTGTAGCTGCAGGGTTCTCAAAACCATTGCACAGCTCAAAGGTACTTATGGTAAATTCCAGTCTTTTAACATATCTTAAAACTTTCCAAAATGAATAAAGCTATCAACAGAATATGAAGAAAGAGCCACTCTGACTATATGTCCCAGAGGTCTATGCATCGTGCTAAAGAAGGCTCAGACTGAAACAGGGCCAGGCTGTATTTTGGTTTCATTTGAGGTTTGTACTACAAAAAGATGCAGTCAGTCAGTGTGATCTTTGATTAACCAGACAAGTGATTAAGAGCAAATTCTTATTTAAATCCAATATAAATAAATACATATCATTTAATACTTGCAATAAGTACCTTTAAATCTGCAAGTAACATCCAACAATAGTACTCTCAGGTACCTGCCTCTAGAGGGCGCTCCAACACATCTAATATTCCAGCACGCAGCACAATTATCAAAAGTTATAGTGTCAGAATCGATCAGTAAAGTAGTAATAACAGTTCTGTTCGATCACTGGGAGACCCCTATCTCTTCTTCCTGTAAAGTAAATGTCTCTTGCATTTGTCTTGTGTCTACTCATTTTTAATGATGCTCACAGGGAGAATATCACCTCAGTCAAAAGACATCATCTGTTTTTAGTCCAAGAAGAAAGCCTTTAAGTCTGCTGACAGATCCATCATGACAATCAGCCGGCTTCGAACCATAATTGGCCAAGGCATTCCTCGCGATATATATAGATGGCATTATATAAAGCAGGATTGGCCATTTCTCTGCTGTGCACAATATACCTGTAACATGATGAGCTGAGTCAGGAAGGCCAGCCTTGAGTGTGCAGTTAACAATAGTATTAATAACATACGACACAGTCTTGCCCCCCGCGCTACCCTCCCTGGAAGAGAAAGTGTGACGGAAATGAGGAGCCGAGGACAGACAAGAGTCCGCAAGTGGGGGGAAAGACAAGACGCAAGGAGCCTCGGTGGCGCAGGCCGAGGTGTCGCCTTTCAGGGCAGGAACCCCTCAGTGTGTGTCTTAAAAGGCAAGGGGGCTGCTGCGGCTCGTGGTGGCGTGCGTCCCTCATCTGGCATCCCTGTCAAGTGCCACATGCTTTGTGTCTGTGCTATGAGCGCAGGAATGGCCCGACTGACTCTCAATGCCACATGCCTGCTCGCATTCTCAAGGAAGACTGAGCGAAGGGAGACGCTGCAGATGCTGGCGAGCCACAGAGGCCCTGAAGTCAAAATAACAATAATGGAGGCAGCTGCTAACACGGAACAGAATGGTAGCTTCAAAGTGCTGTCATGACCTTTGTCACAGTCAGGGTCACTTGGGCATCGGACATTATTTTTATAATTATAACACCTATGAGGATCAGATATGAAGGAAAGAACACAACAGTGCAGGAATATTTAAAAAAGAAATAGCACAGGGCTTAAAACAATACTGGACACTGTTAGTGAACAACACTACAGGACTGGAATACTCTATAAATAGGAAAGTCTCACACTCACACACACACACACCCAAACAGGAAACTCTGCCACCACTTGCTGTGTATGTTTTCTATCTTTTCCCATTTCCACGCCTGTCTTTCCTACCTTCTCTTCCCCTGTCTGACCTATCTGAAAGGAACTGCCCCGGTTAGATCAACCTCCTCTCTACATCACTTCCTGGTCCTGTTGGTGGTGATTGTTCTGAGAGGAAGAGAAGGCAGACGGGATAGGGGAAGGAAAAGGGGGTGGGGGTTTAGTAGTGGTTCT